TACATGCCCAAGTAGAATCCTTAGCTGAGGTAGTTCTCCAAAATCACCAAGGATTATACTTAGTATTCCTTTCCCAAGGAGGTTTATGTGCAGCATTGGGAGAAAGCTGTTGTGTTTATGCTACTAACTCTGGAGTGATAAAAGACACCCTCCAAAAGGTCCAGTAAAATTTAGATAGACACCAATGAGAATGTCATATAGTTCCAAAACATGTTTAACTGGAGCCCATGGTAACTACCTTAGGAATTGGGCTAGGAAGACCTCTTCTTCTCCTGTTAGGCTGAATCTTTGGACCCTGCCTATTAAACTGGCCCCTTACTTCTATAAGGCAGTGCATAAATTCTGTTAAACTCATGTATCTCAGGATCCCCTATAACCCCCTTGTTATAACTGAAGAGTCAATGCTTTCACTCCCCCAAAACACAAGTGGGGAATGTAATAACTTACCCTGAGCTAATATAACTGACTCCATCTTAGCTATAAACTCCAACCCGGCTTCCCCCTCCTGACCACAGCCCCTTTGGGTGCATAACTGGGTCATGCTGCACTTAGAAGCACTGAAGCATACTGTTCTTAATACTTGTAACCATTGTACTGCATCCTGCTTGGCATGCCTTCCCCCTGCTATTATAAGAAAAAATGTTTCCCTTTGATCATTGTGTGAGAAGAACCTGATCACTCCCATTTCCTTTGATCATTGAATTGTATGGAAACCACCTATGCCCGCAGCCCCTTCCTCTAACCTGCTTTTCTGCTTCTGTAAAATTCTGCTTCAGTTAGGTACCCCCTCCCCTACTTAAAATAAGGTAAAAGGTAATCAAGCTCCTTCCTTGGTGCTGAGAGAACTTTGATCATTAGCCATCTCTTGGTCACCAGCTAATTAAAAGGACTCATAACTTGGAACTCAGTGTGTGGCACATTCCTTTTAACTCACTCGGATATAACAAAACTGCTGAGAAAAGACAGAAGGGTGCTGATCTAAGCCACAGCTGCTTCTTGCCCCTAATTCCAGATCCCCAAAATTGTGCAGGAGCAGGAGAAACACATCAAAAAATGAAACAGATTTGTTCTTATTTAATTTACTGCCATGGTAGACGCCAAGTAGAGCAACCCAAAGCTCCTTTGGATAGTGAAGTTATGAAAACATAAAAAGCTTATTTTTCTTCTAAATCTTTCACCTCAGGACACCTAGAGATTTATGATATTTATCATATGCTGGGGAAAATAATATTTAAATAAAAAGTGATCCTTGTAGATAGGGCACCTTGGTTCAAACAGATTCTCTGAACGATGATAAGGATTCACTGCTAGAAATCTTACTGATGTATCTGCTACACACCAATATTAAAACATGTTCACAAAGAAGGCAGATTTAACAGTGAATGAAAAGATGTGTACATTTATTTTGAAAACTATACCATATTCATCTAAAGCATTGATTAAATTGTTGATAAGCTTTATCATGTATTACTTAGGTTCATATACCTAGAGACATTTCCCTTGAGTTTATTTATCATAGTAAATATAGCAAGGCATGTGTATTTTTACACCTTATTGAAGATGTATTTCCTCATCAAAACCATTTCTGAGGTAATGTCTGCCATGTTAACTCATGATTAGCCACACCAATGAGGAGGAATAATAGCTCAGAACAATCAGTGTGGCGATTTCCAGACCAACTGATTGTCAGTATTGGCGTGATTTACTTCATTTTGCAGCAGATTTATCACCATCAAGAATGGTTTTTACTTAAGCTTATTTGAAAACATTTTATTTCCCCAAAACTCTTAATGTTTTAGTGGTAAAAAAACAAACTGGAAAAATTATTGATTAAAAGAAACAAATGAGATGAAAACTATGTCACAGTTAAACCAAAAGGTAGATTGGATGCATATGAACAATCAGTTGATTTTACCTAGAAGCAAGTTTGCAAGTGCAAATGTGTCTGTCCATATGTAAGTATGTAATCTACATGTTTATGTATGTATTTATTTGTGTGCATATGTATGCATACGTATACAAAGGAATTTTGTGCTGAGTAGTTATACCCTTCATATTATAAAATATTAATTAACATTGTGATTAGTGGTATTTTAATTTCAGCATGCTTTATGGTACATTCTATGAAAATGGAAGTAAAAGATAACCTTAAATGGATATACGAATCCTTTAAAAAGTATTAACTAACAGTATAAAAATATAATGACAAGGTAACTTTTTCTTCACTTTTTTAAGGAAACATGCAAACTTCTTGCAAGGAAATTGGACAAAAAAAAACTTATATTGTTATAATATGGATGTCCATAATTCAGTGAAAAACATGGCAAATTAAAAATTATAAACACTCATGAAAAGCCTTTTAAATGATTTCATGTTCAACACACCATTCAGCTTTTGAAAATGTTACTGGAAAAAGGGTCTGTCATCAGAAATAAACAGGAAACTAGAAATGGACATGTCTCAAGTCTTTTCTGTCTAGCTGATACACACTTTCTTACTCAGAGCTAGATGGAAATAGGATTATTTTGCTCACTTCTCACCGTGATCTAAAACTGCGTTGGTTAATTTGACCCAAAGCCAAAAACAAATACACACCTCCATCTAATTTTTGTTCTATTTTTATTTTTTTGATACAAAACTTTCTTACATGTTTATTAACTATACATGTTCAATAACTCAAAACTCCAGATCTGATAGTCTACAAAATATTATTTTAACATATAGAAATAAAACACACTTCATTTCTAATGTTTATTCAAGTAAATGCGTATTTTAAAAGCATAAACTTAAAAATATCATCAGTATGCCATTATTTCTTGTTAGTGTTATCATAGGTGTGGTAATATTGCAGAGCAACTAGGAAACAGGAATGGGGGTTCAGACTGACTGAACTGAAATCCCTACACTGCCATACTGTGGGACTATAACCTGAGCAGAAGCTTAACTTCTTTCAGTATCTTAACTTTCTAATCTACCTTGCAAGGTTATAATGATTAAATTAATTGATATATATCAACACTTGCAGTAGTGACTCAAAATAGGACATTCTTCATAAATATTAGATAACATGTCATAAGCTTATCCTTGCCTGATAAATACAATATTTTTAAGTTACTAGGTTAAAAACCTCTCTGAAAATTAAAGCAAATCAATCTTGTATCATTAATTGTTCGGAAGACTCTCATATAGTATTCTCTTTTAAAGAGAGATAAACTGAAATTCAACACATTGTCATGCACGCACAAAAGAAAAATGAAAGCATCTTTATTATAACGGATGCACCAAGTATGACAAATTTCATAGATAACACCCATTTTTCAAGGTTTATGATTCCATCATAAAAATTCATTTCCCAAGAAAGCCAGAGAATAACATCTCTGTCTGCATGTCATTATCTGTTTTATTGCCTGTGTTTTAGAGCACTGGCTTGACTTATTAGTGACTAATTCAAAATTAATTCTTTTAGAATTTTAAAATACAGATCCCAGCTGGGCGTGTTTGCACATGCCTGTAATCCCAGCAGTTTGGGAGGCTGAGGTGAGCAGATGACAAAGTCAGGAGTTCAAGACTAGTATGGCCAACATAGTGAAACCCTGTCTCTACTAAAAATACAAAAAAATTAGCCAGGTGTGGTGGTATGTGCCTGTAAGCCCAGCTACTCGGGAGGCTGAGGCAGGAGAATCACTTAAACCAAGAAGATGGAGGTTGCAGTGAGCTGAGATTGCACCATTGCACTACAGCCTGGCAACAGAGCAAGACTCCGTCTCAAGAAAAAAAAAAAGAAGAAAGAAGAAAGACAGAAAGAAAGAGAAAGCAAGAAAGGAAAAGAAAGAAAGAAAGAGAAAGAAAGAAAGGAAAAGAAAGAAAGAAGAAAGAAGAAAAGAAAGAAAGAAGGAAAAGAAAAAAAAGCAAGCAAATACCAAAAACACCCTGGATAGCAATAGTGAAATCATATGAAATATACAGGGGAAAAAAGCTAATTCTAAGAAGATACTAGATGTGAATGACTGTTTCAGACTCCATGTAAATACCAATGTTGATGACAGTCTATGTCTAGGTACACACAGATTGTTTCCCACTCATACACATTGGTTGTTGTAGCATTCATCCCAAACATGAAGTAAAAATCTGGTAGTATAGTAAAATAATTTAAGCTCCTTTAAATAATATATTATTTCTTCATCAACCAATCACTTACTGAAACACTCTTACAAAGACTTCTATCTTTAAGTCAGCCTACTTCAGAGAATATTATCTTTTGCACGGTTACTATACAGTCTATATAAAGAAGATTTTTTTTCTACTTTGCACAGACTATAAAAAGTTACATAAAGAAACTTTACAAGTAAGGTATTTTTAAGCGTGAAATTTAGTGAACAAATTTCTTTAGTTGTTTATGTCACTATGATTGCTTGGGGTTTGAGGTGTCCATTCTCATTCCACATGTATAAGTATTTTCATTCTCATCCATATTTCTGTTTTCCTCTTAAAGGTAAGTTAATCAGAACTGCAAGCTGTTTGAAGAGGTGGGGAAGATCTAATTTTGTATAACACTCTTCCTTTTTGGTCTTGTTAGGACACCAGCTGAGTCTAATTACCAATTTACTCATTTTAAATGAAACATTTTATTAATTGGAAGAGAGGCCAAAAAGCCATTTGTTTTAAAAGTTTGCACAAATAAATATATTGCCCAGTGAATGTACTTGATAACTGGATGAAGTGACTTATATCTACTGATAAAAATAAACATGGTAAAGTTCAGAAGCCCAAAACAGTAATCTAAAACATGTATCTAAAAATAAAAGACATGCTGACATAATCATAACCAATTAGCTTATGTCTAAAAATATGCTGAAATGGAAGAAATTATTGCATAAATTTTTCCATTACTGCAAGTTCTTCCATTTAGTGTTTTCAAGTTTAACTATACAATAAATATCATTTCTAAAACTACAGGATTATGAACATGAAAATATTTTTATTTTAAAACAGATTCTTACCCTGATCGAAGGATTTTCCCGGACTCCAAGTTCGGAAATAATCATCCTAAGGGGGAAAATAATGTGAATTGAGTGTATATGAGTAATTAAAATGCAAGGGTACATATAAAATCTAAAATAAATTATGAAACACAGAAGATGTATACAAACCTCTACTTCCTGCAATGGCAAGCAGCGAATTATAAAATAAATAAATAAATAAAAATAAAAAAAGAAACAAGAGAAAAAGAATAGTTACCAAAGGGAACACACTGTTTGCAAGTTACAGAAATGTCTTTCAATAAATGTGTTCATCTTCATTTTAAGTCAAGGTTACTATAACAATTTAACTATTTTGTTTGCCACTTCTCCTAAATATTACAACACAATGCTTTCAATTACAATTCAGCACATAATATAACATGAAGATAATTACCCTATGCTAATAGACAATTAAGTATCTTACCACTTTCCAATTATACAACTTCATTTCCCCCTCATACAACAGTAAATGGAACTATTCATATAGCAGAGAAACTACCAAGTAATTCTGCAATAGCCCATAGAGTATAAATATGGTTTATGCAAATCATTCTCTTGTTAATTGAATATCTAAGTTCATCAAAATACAACCTAGAGGTTGAAAAAAAATGCACACCTAATTAAGTCTGGCCTAAAGTTTAATTCACTAATATGGAAAAGAATCAATGCAATATATTTCTGATATACTTAGAAAATATGACATTACAGCACAAACGTAGGGAAACATAAACTGAAAAGAATTTTTTAAAGTACAGATAGGGACATCCAAGATGGTGGAATAGGAACATCTCTGGAGTCCAGTACTCAGCGAGAACAATGCAGAGGGTGAGTGATCACTGCATTTCCAGACAAGTTTTTACTGCCCACAGAACAGGAGACTTCCAGGCCAAAAAGCGTCACTAGTTTCCAGCACAGCAGTTTCAGCCAGTGCCACAAGTTACTGCACAAAATCTCACACAAATCTAAGAGGCAGTTTCAACTGGTGCCTGGAATGGCTGGGAGACAGAGCCGCCCATTCAACTGAAAAAGAAAGGGCTGAAAACGGGGGGCCAGGTAATCTGGCTTGGTGAGTCCCACCCCTGCCAAGACCAACAATCTGAAATGCTTAGGATTAACAGTTAGGCAGCAAGTGCGGCTGGACCCATGAAGGTCCAGCTTGTTGGGGGTAAGGCGTCAGCTATTACCAAGGCACTCCACCATTACTGAGGCAGTCCATTGTTACTGAGGCAGTTCTAACTGTACCTCTAGGAAGTTTACACAGCAGCTGGGCAGAGCCCGTGGCAGCTTAGCAATGCCTCTGCTGGCAGACTGTGACTACGATACTTCCTCGCTGGGCACAGCATCTCTGAAAAAAGGCAGCAGCACATCAGAAACTTATAAATAAAGCCCTATCTTCCCAGGACAGAGATCCAGGGAAAAGATGCAGTTATGAGTTCCACTGCAGCAGACTTAAACATACCTTCCCAGCACCTCTGAAAAAAAGAACAGAGCTTCCAGCACAGAACTTGAGTTCCTATAACAGACAGACTGTCTCCTCAAGCAGCTACCCAAGCCCTGGATATCCAAGGAGTAACCTAATAAAGGAGAGCTCAGGCTGATATCTGGCAGGTACCCTTCTGGGACAAAGATAAGAAGAATGTGGCAGCAACCCTTACTGTTCTTCAGCCCCCATGAGTGATCCACAGGCAAGCAGGGTCTGGAGTGGACCTCTAGCAGTCTTGCAGCAGAGGGGCCTGTTAGAATGACAACTAAAAACCAGAAAGACATAGCTTCAACATCAACAACAACAAAAAAAACACCAACTCCGAGACCCCATCCGAAAGTCACCAACTACAAAGACCACAGGTAAATCCACAAAGATAGAAAGAAATCAGCACAAAAAGGATGAAAACATCAAAAACTAGTAACACTTCTCCTCTTACTAAAGATCACAATGCCTCACCACAAAGGGAACAAAACTGGATGGAGAATGAGTCTGATGAATTGACAGAAACACACTTCAGAAGGTGGGTAATAAAAAACTTCACCGAGTTATAACAACATGTTCTAACCCAATGCAAGGTAACTAAGAACCTTGGAAAAAGGTTAGACGAAATGCTAATGAGAATAAACAGCTTAGAGAACAATATATAAATGATTTAATGGAACTGAAAAATGCAACAATAGAACTTCGCGAAGCACACACAATATTCAATAGGTGAATCAACCAAGCAGAAGAAAGGACATCAGAGATTGAAGATAAACTCAAGGAAATGAAATTAGAAGGCAAGACTAGAGAAAAAACAGTGAAAAGAAATAAGCAAAGCCTCCAAGAAATATGGGATTATATGAAAGAATCAAATCTATGTTTGATAGGTGTACCTGAATGTGACAGAGAGAATGAATCCAAGCTGGAAAACACTCTTCAGGATATTATCCAGAAGAACTTCCCCAACCTACCAAGGCAGGCAAACATTTAAGTCCAGGAATCACAGAGAGCACCACAAAGATATTCTTCAAGAAGAGCAACCCCAACGCACATAATCATCAGATTCACCAGGGTTGAAATGAAAGAAAAAATGCTAAGGGCAGCCAGAGGGAAAGGTCTGATGGGCTTACCAACAAATCAAATTCACACAAAACAATATTAACCTTAAATGTAAATGGGCTAAATGCCCTAATCAAAAGACACAGACTGGCAAATTGGATAAAAAGTCAAGACCCATCAGTGTGCTGTATTCAGGAAACCCATCTGATATGCAACGACACAGGCTCAAAATAAAGGGATGGAGGAAGATTTACCAAGCAAATGGAGATGAAAAAGAGGAGGAGTTGTAATCCTAATCTCTGATAAAATGGACTTTAAACCAACAAAGATCAAAAGAGACAATGAAGGGCATCACAAAATGTTAAAAGGATCAATGCAATAAGAAGAGTCAACAGTCTTAAATATATATGCATCCAATATAGGAGCACCCAGATACATAAAGCAAGTTCTTTTTTTTAAATATATATTTTACTGCATTTTAGGTTTTGGGGTACATGTGAAGAATATGCAATATTGTTGCATAGGTACATACATGGCAATGTGGTTTGCTGCCTTCCTCCCCAATACCTATATCTGACATTTCTCCCCATGTTCTTAATGACCTACAAAGAGACATAAACTCCCACACCATAATAGTGGGAGAATGTAACACTCCACTATCATTATTAGACAGATCGACCAGACAGAAAATTAATAAGGATATCCAGGACTTCATTGCAGATCTGGACCAAGGGAATGTAATAGACATCTACAGAACTCTTCACCCCACATCCACAGAATATACATTCTTCTCAGCATGACATCACACCTACTCTAAAATTAACAACATAATTGGAACTAAATAAATCCTTAGCATATACAAAAGAACAGAAATCATAACAAACAGTTTCTCAGATCACAGTGCAATCAAATTAGAACTCAGGATTAAGAAGGTAACTCAGAACCGCACAACTTCTGGAAACTGAACAACTCGCTCCTGAATGTCAACTGGATAAACAATGAAATGAAGGCAGAAATAAAGATGTTCTTTGGAACCAACAAGAACAAAGCTGCAATGTCCCAGAATCTCCGGTACACATTTAAAGCAGTGTCTAGAGGGAAATTTGTAACAATATATGCCCATATGAGAAGCAAGGAAAGATATAAAATTGACACTCTATCATCAAAATTGAAAGAGTTAGAGGAGCAATATCAACAAAACTCAAAAGCTAGCAGAAAATAGGAAAGAACTCAGATCAGAGCAGAACTGAAGAAGACAGAGACATAAAAAACCTTTCAAAAAAATCAATGTATCCTGAAGTTGGTTTTTTGAAAAGATCAACAAAATAGACCACTAGCCAGATTAATAAAAAAAGAAAACAGAGAAGAATCAAACAGATACAACGAAAAATGATAAAGGGGATATCACCACTGATTCCACAGAAATACAAACTACCATCAGATATTACTACAAATAATTCTATGTAAATAAACCAGTAAATGTGGAAGAAATGGATAAATTCCTGAACACTTGCACCCTCCCAAGTCTAAACCAGGAAGAAGTTGAAACCCTGAATACACCAAGAAGAAGGGCTGTAGTTGAGGTGGCAATTAATAGCCTACCACCCAAAAAAAGCCCAGGTCCAGATGGGTTCACAGCCGAATTCTACCAGACATACAAAAAGGAGCTGGTACCATTCCTTCTGAAACTATTCCAAACAATCCCAAAAGAGGAATTCCTTTCCAAATCATTTTATGAGACAAACATCATCCTGATACCAAAACCTAGCAGGGACTCAACAAGAAAAGAAAACTTCAGGCCAAAATCCATGAGGAACATACATGCAAATATCTTCAGCAAAATACTGACAAAGCAATAGCAATAGCATATCAAAAAGCTTATTTATCGTGATCAAGTAGGCTTCACTCTGGGGATGCAAGGCTGGTTCAACATATGCAAGTCCATAAACACAATCCACCAGATAAACAGAACCAAAGACAAAAATGACATGATCACTTCAATAAATGCAGAGAAGGCCTCCTACAAAATTCCACAGGCCTTTTTGACTAAAACTCTCAATAAACCAGTTATTGATGGAACATGTCTCAAAATAATAAAAGCTATTTATGACAAACTCACAGCCAATATCATACTGAATGGGTAAAAACAGGACACAGTCCATTTGAAATCTGGCACTAGACAAGGATACCCTCTCTCCTGACTCCTATTCTATATAGTATTGGAGGTTCCAGCCAGAGCAATCAGGCAAGAAAAAGAAATAAAGGGTACTGAATTAGGAGAGGAGGAATTCAAATTGTCTCTATTTGCAGACAACATGATTGTATATTTAGAAGATCCATAATCTCAAACCAAAATCTCCTTAAAGTGATAAGCAACTTCAGCAAAGTCTCAGGATACAAAATCAATGTGCAAAAATCACAAGCATTCCTATACACCAATAACAGACCAAAAGAGAGCCAAACCAAGAGCGAACTCCCATTCACAATTGCTACAAAGAGAATACAATACCTAGGAATACAATTAACAAAGAGGGAAAGGATCTCTTCAATGAGAACTACAAACCACTGCTGAAGGAAATAAGAGGACACAAACAGATGGAAAACCATTCCA